CGCGTGCAGCCCGCGGCCCGACCCGCGGCCCGCGTGCCGCGTCTGTGCCGCGGCCCGCGTCCCGCGGCCATTAGCCATATTAGCCTTCGCAGGCCCCTAGTAACTGGTTTCCGCAACTTCTAAAAATCCAGGTTTCAGCATGTTGCTGCGGTTAAAGGTTTTCAGGGTGTAGGGTGTTTAGGCTTTTGAGGGATTAGGCTTCCAGGGTTTGGAGTGATAAAACCGCTTTGGGGCTTAGGGGGTTTCGGGTTTTCCGGGTGAGAGCTTTTAGGATTTGCGGTGCTTCGGGTTTTTAATTTTTACCCGTAGCCATTTTGGCTCAAGCCATTTTGGCTCAAGAACACATTTTGGCTCAAGTCCCAAGAAACTCTTTGTACGTCTAGTTTTGGGCCGCTCCTGGGCACCGAAGTGTGCCCCTCGGTCGAGACAGTCCGGCCCTGCTCTTCCACTTGCTCAGGCATCCAATCCGGCCCTGCCTCTCCTGCCAGGCCGCCTTGACCCCCCGGCACCACCCGGGCTACCCAGTGCATAAGCCCTAGGGTTCTTAGGCCTTTTTCCCTGATCTCAGCCGCACGCGCGCATGCAACAGCCGCCGACAGACCAGGATTGGAGCCCCCCCACAGTGTCATCCACGCCTGGTGCCTCCGCAGCCCCTCCTGCAGCTGCGCCAAGCACCCCGCCGTGGCTCCTAGGCAGGGACCTTCCGGAAACAGTCTCTGGTTGCCCCACGTGCCCTGTCTGCCACCGTGATGTTCGCCCAGGGGCTTCTGGGCCCGAAGCAACTTTCGCGTGGCCACAGTGCGGCCATGCTCTGCACCTCGGCTGTGCCGCGCATGTGGTGGTCAATGTCTCTCCCCTTGCTCTCGCGTGCCCCTCGTGCAGGGCCTCCTGGCCTGCCTCAGCGGCTGATCTCCTTTTGGATGCGTGTCGGGTCCACTCTGTCCCCATCCCGGCCCCCGCGCCCGACCATGATACCACGTCCGACTTGCACCGTGCCGCAATTGCGCCACCACCCCCAGCACACATTTTGCCACTGTGCTTCCCGCGTGTCTACTTGGCAAACCCTCGTGCAGCAGCTAGTGAGGGGGCCTGGGAAGAGCTCCCTGGCCGCCACATGCATTGGGCTCCCGTTCACAACAGGCAGTCAGGGGAGTGGCGAGCGGAGTGGGCTTGCCTCCGCTGCAACACCACTGTCGACGAGTCCCACCCGCTGCTCGCCGCCATCCCGCAGAGGCCACTTTGCACCTTGCACGGCCCACGGGCCCTCGCACTTGATCTGAGGGAACAATCTCTTGTCACCGCACTCCAGGCTTTGCAGCAAGTTGCCGTCGCTGACGGGCGCCGCCTGCCGCCAGCCGAGATTGCCCTACTCACGTCGCTCGCGCAGGAAACTGCCTGTCTGCCGCCCTCTGCCCGGGCGCATTTCCTTTGGGCATGGCAGCGCTTGACCCTGCCGGAGGGATACATACCAGCCACGGCCCAAGAGTGTTTGCTACATGTCTTCCTGGGGGAGCGTGAGGCCTCCGCCCTTGTCCAGGCAATCTCTGCACAGGCCGTGCCCAATCAGCCGCCCGCCCAGCCAACTGCACCAGACGCGGGCTCCAGCTCCACTTCGTCCAGCTAAAGCTCGAGCAGCAGCAGCGGCAGCAGCGGCGACAGTAGTAGCCAGTCGTCAGCGGACTGCGCGGCCCCGCAGGAAGACTCGCAGAGGAACCCCTCTGTTCCGGCCCCAGCGATCGAAGGCCCCCCCCGCGGTGTCGCGGAGTCTCTTGCCGAACCTTCTCAGCAAACACAATCCTTGGACTTGCAGGGACCGCGCCTACGCGCAGCACTTGCGGCCCTTGACCAGTACGATGCCGTTGCAGTCCTTTCGCAGCCCTGCGCCCTCTTTCGCACTCCGCCAGCCTTCGTGCGCGGCCAACTGCGACAGGCTCTGCAATGCGCCCTGTCGGCAATTGAAGTGTGTGCCGACCCTGCAGGAACAGACGCCGAACGGGCGTGGAAACTCTGGTTGTTCTTGCCTCGCATGCTGCTCCACCGGCTTGGTGGCGTGCCCCGCCTGCCCAAGCCCACCCTCCGTGCTAGGTTCCAGGCGTTCTTCAGGGGCGATTGGCCTGCGCTCCTTGATGAAGCAACTTCGGGGGTAGCCCCACGGCAGCCACCACCGCGCCTCAGTAGCGACTCCCGGGCGGACCGCGCTACCCACCTTGCGCATCTGGGCGAACTCTCAGCAGCACGGCAGGCCCTTCTCGCGGAGCCCCTTGGTTTGGGGGACGAGGGCACGTTGCAGCAACTGCGGGATCCAGCCCGCCGTCCATCAGAGCCGTACGAGCCACTCAATGCCGACGTCTTGCAATACAGTCCAAACTCCCTGATCGATCTCCCGCGCTCAGCGTTGTTCGCCAACCTGCGGCGATCCAGGCGGGGCGCTGCACCTGGCCCGAGCGGCTATACTTCCGAGATTGTCCGGCTCGTCGTGGATGCTGAAAGCGCAATCGAATCACTCAGCACTGTTGCCACCCGCCTTGCCAACGCGCAATTGCCGGCTCCAGTCTCCGCAGCCCTGGGCTTGGGGCGACTCGTAGCGGTCCGCAAGCCTGCAGGCGGAGTTCGGGGCATTGTCGTGGGCGACTTCCTTCGCCGCCTTGTTGCCCGCACACTCGCGCAGCAGTTCACGCCCGATTTGACCAAGCTACCCGGCCTCACCAGTATGCTCTCGCGACACGCGCCGGCACCGAGGCCCTCGCGCACAGCCTCCAGCTCGAATGCGACCTCGACCCAACATGCTCAGTGCTCTCGGTCGACGGTATTGGCGCGTACGACCTCATCAGTCGTAATGCCATGCTCCGTGCCCTGCGCAACACCCCTACTGCAGCGGCCATCCTGCCCTTTGTAAGGCTGTTTTATGGCCAGCCGTCCACATTCCTATGGCAAGACGATGCAGGGACTGTCCACCGCATCGTCCAAGCTGAGGGCGGCGAACAAGGTGATCCACTCATGCCGGCCCGCCCCGGCTCTTGAAGCCGTTCAGGCAGAAATGCTACCTGACGAGCGTGTGCGGGCCTTTCTGGATGATGTGTACGTGACTTCTCACCCACCCCGCGTTGCACATCTTCTGGACAGGCTTCAGCATCACTTGTTTGTTCAGGCGCACATCCGCCTCAACCCTTCCAAGACCCGTGGGTGGAACGCCGCAGGCGTGCAACCCCCTGCTCTGCCTGCAGCGCCTGATGGCGCACGGCTTTGGGTCGGCGACCTTGGCCTCCCCGCCTCCGAACGTGGCTTGCGCATCCTCGGCACTCCTTTGGGCACTCCTGAGTACATCGCCGCTCAACTCGAGTCCTTGTCCACGCAGCGTGGTACCCTCTTCGCGAGGCTCCCTGATGTTCCCGATCTGCAAGTTGCCTGGCTCCTGCTACTGTTCTGCGCCTTGCCTAGGGCGCAGTACGTCCTCCGGGTCTTGCCCCCCCACCAAACCGCGGCCTTCGCTGGCGGCACTCCTCCGTGTCGAGTCCTCCGGGGCGTTTCTGGCACACAGCGCCACGTGCGGGCGCGCGCAGCTCGCCATGCAACATGGTGGCCTCGGTCTGCGCAGCACAGCTGCGCATTCTTGCGCAGCGTACTTTGCGTCGTGGGCCGACGCCTTGCGGGCCATCGAGGCTCGTGACCCGCAGCTATGGGCAACGGCTGCACTGCAGCTGCAGCGTCCTGCTTGCACTTCGCGATGCTCTACCGCTTTGCGAGACGCGGTTCACAGTCTCGAGGCCGCAGGATTCCAAGCCCCCCCGTGGAATCAGCTTGCACGCACCTCGCCTCCACAGGAGGACAGCGAAGATGACGAGCCTGCAGATTTCACTCGCGGCTGGCAACGGTCAGCCTCACGGGCGGTAGACCGGGCATCTGCCGTCTACCTCGCACAGCGCCTTGACGCTTCGTCACGGGCATTGCTTCCCAGTCTGGCCCGTTCGCGGCCAAGGTCTTCACGGCACTGCCCACCTCCCCTGAACTCCGGCTCGAGCCTGCTTCCTTCCGGGTGCTACTCCTCCGCCGCTTGCGTTTGCAGTTGCCCTTGGTGCCGGCCACTTGCCCCTGCAGGCGTCGCCTTGATGCCCTCGGGGACCACCGTGCATCATGCCCCCGCTCCGGCTTGCTGCGGCCCAGAGCCATCCCGCTCGAAAGAGCCGCCGCACGCATGTGCCGCGAAGCAGGAGCGACGGTCAGTACCAACGTCGTCCTGCGCGACTTGAATCTTGTCGTCCACAACCAACATGATCGTCGCATCGAGGTCATTGCGAACGGCCTCCCTTTGTGGGGTGGGGCTCAGCTCGCTGTCGACACCACGTTGGTCTCTGCGCTGGACTCAGCTGGCCAGCCTCGCCGCCAGCAGCGCAGCACAACCGGAGCAGCCTTGCGCATAGCCCGCCGGGCGAAGGAGCGGACCTACCCTGAACTGCTCCGAGCAGAGCGTTGTCGCCTTGTCGTCCTTGGCATTGAGCTCGGTGGCCGGTGGAGCTCGGAGGCAGCCCAATTCGTCCGGATGCTCGCTCGGAGCCGTGCCCGTTCGGCCCCGCATGTCTTG